GATGCATCCTAAAAATTTTCAACAGTCCTTCTTTTTTTTTTTTTTTTTTTTTTTTAAGACCCCTCTCTTATGTCCAGTTATTCTCCCCCTACTTGCTTTAAAATGATTTCACTGGAAAATGCATTATCGGGGAAAAAAATGCACAGCTGGATTCACGCCTTCTGTATGATGCATTTTCCATTGGCATCAATGCAATCACATTTCAACATATTGCTAAGGCGCTCATCTCCACACATCGTGTTGTCGATACGCATCGATGTATATTGACGTTCAATACAGAGTGTGTAGATATGTGTTTGACACGCATTTTGATGTCAATGGGAAGCACACCATAGGTGTTTATGCATAGATATGAAACAGCCTGAGGCTGGATTCACACCTATGCAGTTTGCGTTTGATCCATTTCTGCAGCGCTTTTTGCGGTGCGTCTTTGCACATGCGTTTTTGACTCGTTTTGCTTTTTAATTTATTTTTTTTTCTTGCTGCTAGGCAGATCAAAACGCAGCAACAATGCACTACATGGTTTTCTGCAGCATTTCCATTGAAGTCTATAGAACCAAAAACGCAATGTTTTGCGTTTAAAAAAACTCTCTGACCCTTTCCAAAAAATGCACTGGGTGAAAACGCAGAGATGTGAACGTGTCCCATAGAAAATCATGTTAAATGAACTGTAGTGCGTTTTTGCAAAAAAAAGTTTAGGTAGTGCATTTTTGCGAAAAAAAGTTTAGGTTCACATATATGTGGCCACACGAGAGCCCATTCATTTGAATGGACTCCCGTGCCCCGGGACACGCTGGGAAGAAGTTCCTGCACTTCTTCTGAAACGCAGCCCATACAAGAACCTCGGTTCCCGGTGCAGTTGCGTATTCCAGTGTGGGCGGCGTGCCATTAGAACTAATAGCACCCGCCCGTGGGTCCGCATTCCTCTGTGAGGGTGGTGCGGCTTCATGGATTTTTGTGCGGATCCGCAGAGGCACCACCCGCACAGATGTGAACCTAGCCTAAAGTGCTCATGAACCCTGCTTCTACCCTAACCTAGTTCCCACCCTCATTTCCTATCGTAATATGCAGAAATCACCTGACCATGCACTGACCATAGTTGGGAACCTATTCATGTCCAGAGGTAAGTCTGCTCTGAGCCGAGGCAACATGCCAGGACCTATGTGTGGCTTTGATATAGATTTGGCTGCTCAGGCAGAGAGCCAATAGTAGTACTTGCACACACAGATTCTGGCTTTATGCACTTGGGTTCATTCACATATACGTTCACCCAAAAAGAGTTCCGGTCTATTTTTTTTATTCTATATCACGTGTTTTTATTAGTAATGACTGGCATTTGTCAGGGCTGGTTTCCTGATGGTGACAGCAGTGGCCTTTATTGGAAGACCATGTGACAGGGTGACAAAGCAAGAACGCAACTGGAAAATTCTGATATAACGTTGTCACCCTATAACAGGAAGTGCCTGAACAATGACCGTAAATAGCAGGATCACCAGGTATAAATCCAATGGAAGTAACAGATTTAAAATGATTGAAAATGTCATTGGAAATAATACGTTAAATCTTTTTTAGTGACTAGCTATAGATGAGCTTGTCCCTTTCACGTTTATATCTTTAAAGACAATTGCATCAGAATAAAAAGTCATGGAAGGCAATTCAAGAACTAGAGATTCCCCCCCCCCCCTTTTTTCTTTTTTTTCTTTTTAAGAGGAACATTATTCATTTTATTACAGTTGCAAGTTTTCTATAATTTCTATTGTATCTTTTTGTATAGAAAAATGGTAAGTGTAGGAACATTGAATGTGGTCTTATAAATGAGCTGCACACAGATAACATATTTCCTGCCACATCACATTGCTTTCCTTTCAGTTGGACATTGAATTGAGAGGAAGAGTGTCTATACATGTTAAGATTTAAGCTGGGAAAAAAATGAAGGGTTAAGCTCCTGACAGGCTTGAACAGGCTTTTGTCTGATTGCATTATAATTCACTTCATGTCACACACAGTATTAGGCCTCCTTTACACAGCCATTTTTTTCCCCCATAGAAAATTTTGATTGAAAAAAAAAAAAAAAAAAAGACATACAAGGTTTTCCACCGACAGATACACTATATTACCAAAAGTATTGGTCGGCCTGCCTTTACACGCACATGAACATTAATGTCATCCCAGTCTTAGTCCGTAGGGTTCAATATTGGGTTGGCCCACCCTTTGCTGCTATAACAGCTTCAACTCTTCTTGGAAGGCTGTCCACAAGGTTTAGGAGGGTGTCTATGGGAAGGTTTGACCATTCTTCCAGAAGCACATTTGTGAGGTCAGGCACTGATGTCAGATGAGAAGGCCTGGCTCACAGTCTCCCCTCTAATTCATCCCAAAGGTATTCTATCAGGTTGAGGTCAGAACTCTGTGCAGACCAGTCAAGTTCCTCCACCCTAAACTGGCTCCTCCAAGTCTTTATGGACCTTGCTTTGTGCACTGGTGCGCAGTCATGTTGGAACAGGAAGGGGCCATCCCCAAACTGTTCCTACAAAGCTGGGAGCATGAAATTGTCCAAAATGTCTTGGTATGCTGATGCCTTAACAGTTCCTTCCAGTGGAACTAATGGGCCAAGCCCAACCCCTGAGAAACAACCCCACACTATAATCCCCCCTCCACCAAACTTTATACTTGGCACAATGCAGTCAGGCCAGTACTGTTCTGGCAACCACCAATCCCAGACACGTCCATTGGATTGCCAGACAGAGAAGTGTGATTCATCACTCCGGAGAACACATCTCCACTGCTCTAGAGTCCAGTGGTGGCGTGCTTTACACCTCGGCATCTGACGCTTTGCATTGCACTTGATGATGTAAGGCTTGGATGCAGCTGCTCGGCCATGGAAACCCATTCCATGAAGCTCTCTATGCACTGTTGTTGTGCTAATATGAAGGCCACACCAAGTTTGGAGATCTCTAGCTGTTGACTCTGCAGACAGTTGGCGACTTCTGCGCACTGTGCACTTCAGCATGTGCTGACCCCGCTCTGTCATTATATGTGGCCACCACTTCATGGCTGAGTTGCTGTTGTTCCCAGTTGCTTCCAAGTTATTATAATACCACTAACAGTTGACCGTGGAATATTTAGTAGGAAATTTTCCGGATGGACTTATTGCACAGGTGGCAACCTATCACGGTACCACGCTTGAATTCACTGAGCTCCTGAGAGCGACCCATTCTTTCACAAATGTTTGTAGAAGCAGTCTGCATGCCTAGGTGCTTGATTGTATACATCTGTGAATTGAATTTCTACACGTTATGAATAACTGAACGTTTGCACTTTGGCACTTAATAATTATCTTTCCATAAAGGACATAATTAGGTTTTATTGCCAGTTGAACTGTTACAGTCGTCACGGATGCATATTGACGAACTTAGCTGCACTTTATTATTATATGGTATTTATGTTACATGAGTTTTAGAACGCTGCACTTATACCTTTTGAAGTTGAGTTTGAGATCACTGTCCATATCCAGATTGCTAACAACTATTTTCAGAGCATTAATTTGACTATTCTAATTTATATACTTCATAATACCTAGCGCTTACCTACACAATATCTGGATGTATATGATACACTGAGTAATTGATGTTATAAATGGATTGCTATATATATATATATATATCTATCTATCTCAGCGCTGCACTTATATAATTTTGATACAATACATGTTATGCTTACCTGCTCTGTGCAATGGCTTTGCACAGAGCAGACCCGATTCTCCTCCTCTAGGGTCCCCCGCCAGCGCTTCTGGCTCCTCCCCCACTGCTGAGTGCCCCCAGGGCAAGCTACATTGCTCTGGGGGCACTCGTGTGTGTGTGTGTGTGTGTGTGTGTGCTCGTGCTCGCTGTCCAGCTGCCTTTGTGTGTCTGAAACACACAGAGCGCAGCTCAGCCCTGCCCCTTGCTCCTTCCTCACTGGCTGTGATTGACAGCAGTGGGAGACCCACTGCTTTGTCTCAGCCAATGAAGAGGGAGAGGCCCAGGAGAGTCGCTTCTCTCGTGCACAGTGCTGGATTGCAGTCAGGCTCAGGTATGTATTGTGGGTGGGCTGAGGAGTAATCTGCACACAGAAGCTTTTTTTTTTCCTTTTATGCACAGATTCATGAAGGTAAAAAAACTTGAAGGCTTTAGAACCACTTTAGTTTTTCCTGTGTATGGAAACTTGTGGGACACATTGTAGTTTATATAGGCTGAGCAGCTGTCACTATTCGGAAAGAAGAAAAAAGCAACCGAATGCCTGAGATTCTGCGCTGGACAATGGACTCCACAATGTCAATATCCCCACATGAGTAGGAAAGGAATGCAAGCCTTGCTGCCCTCAACGGACCAGGGAAATCCAAAGAGAACTGTATATAAGAAACAAAAAGAGGGCTCACGGGCCTAGTGCATTACCTTTTTAAAAATGAGATTTATTTATAAAAAGTAAAATACAATAGAAATAAAATCAAATGGAAAGCATGTCACAAGGGATGCGACGTGGTCCAAAACCCCTGAAGGTGGTCTGGTGGGGGACTGTAGACCTCTAGATAGCTGGTGGCTGATGCGTTTTGAGGTTCTGAGGAAGAGGTACAACCTCGAAACGCGTCATCCACCAGCTATCTGCTCTGCCTGCGCTTCATGCAGGCAGAAGGTTCCTTCACTTTTGCACCATGCAATTTTCTTCAACTGTTTTCAGATGCATGGGGGTGCCATTAAGAAGGCTTTACTGCAAAAGAGCAGCGGTGTTTGGCTGCGGGAACAGGTGGGATATTTACACGCTTTCCCACAACCACCTGCACTGTGTACCCAGCCTTATGGATGCCTTAGAGGTCATTTACAGTCTTTGCTGTGATCTGCATTTTTCCGCACAGAATAAACGCAGGTCAGTGCTGGGGCACATAGAAAAATTCCCAGTCACAAGAAACCGCAAGGGTAGACATGCAGGGGCTAAGCACCCGGTGGCCATCTGGCTGCAACGTCTCCAGAATATGCCCCTTTTTAACCAATGATACCACAAAACATCTAATTCCCTCCCTGGTCATCTCTTGCCTCAACTACTGCTACTCCCTCCTCATTGGATGACCTTTACATAGGCCCCCCTCCAGTCCATCATGAATGCTGCTGCCAGGCTCATCCACCTTACCAACCGTTCAATGTCTGCTACCCCTCTCTGCCAATCCCTCCACTGGCTTCCACTCAGTGTCCTCCACCCCTCTCTGCCAATCCCTCCACTGATTTCCACTGTGTCCTCCACCCTCTCTGCCAATCCCTCCACTGGCTTCCACTCAGTGTCCTCCACCCCTCTCTGCCAATCCCTCCACTGGCTTCCACTCAGTGTCCTCCACCCCTCTCTGCCAATCCCTCCACTGGCTTCCACTCAGTGTCCTCCACCCCTCTCTGCCAATCCCTCCACTGCTTCCACTGTGTCCTCCACCCCTCTCTGCCAATCCCTCCACTGGCTTCCACTCAGTGTCCTCCACCCCTCTCTGCAATCCCTCCACTGGCTTCCACAGTGTCCTCCACCCCTCTCTGCCAATCCCTCACCTTTCCACTGTGTCCTCCACCCCTCTCTGCCAATCCTCCCCTTCCCCCTCTCTGCCAATCCCTCCACTGACCTCCACTCAGTGTCCTCCGCCCCTCTCTGCCAATCCCTCCACTGACCTCCACTCAGTGTTCCTCCGCCCCTCTCTGCCAATCCCTCCACTGACCTCCACTCAGTGTCCTCCGCCCCTCTCTGCCAAGCCCTCCACTGGCCTCCACTCAGTGTCCTCTGCCCTCTCTGCCCCTCTCTGGCCAATGTCCTCCACCCTTCTCTGGCCTCCACTCAGTGTCCTCCACCCCTCCCTGCCAATCCCTCCACTGGCTTCCACTCAGTGTTCTCATGGACACGGGACGTTTTTATAGCAGCTGTTTTTGGCTTTTGGCATTTTTTTCTACAGCTAGTAAACCCCCCAGCATGTTCTCCTATGTGTCCATGCACACATCAGCTGTAATCAGCCTTTTTGACTGAAAAAAACCCCAAGACTAGTTGGTTTCTAGAGGAGTTTTTTAGCTGTAAAAACATTCTAACTGTAAAACGCGCCAACCTGTTGTTTTGGCTGTTTTTTTGAGCAAAAAAAGAATTTTTTTTTCTGTTGGTAAAAAAAAAAAAAAAAACGCAAGAAAAACCGGCAAAACACAGCTAAACACTAATGCAAAAACATTGAAAAACTCACGTTTTTAACGTGACTTTACACAGCTAACTTTACCAGCGTTATTAAACCGGCCCGTGTGCATGGAGCCTTACAGGAAGCTCCTAAACGTTCGGGAGTTGTTTCTTGCTGGATTACACACTCTCTTTTATTTTTATGTTGAGATTTATGTTTTATTTCAGTTTGCAACAGTCATATGTGAAATTAATTTTATTATATAATTTTATTTATTTTTTTACTAAAATATAATTTTTTTTTTTAATTTATTTTGGGGTCAAAAAGAGGTTTTAAAATGTTTATCTGAGATAACTGTTATTTGTTTCCCAGGAAGAAACTGTTCTGCATGAACCTTCATGACTTCCTCCCTGCACTAGTTTCTTCGTGTGTTGTGGAGCAATCATTTCCTGCCCTTGTTTTCATATTTTGTTTTTAGACATGTCACCAGTGTTCTTAAAAGTGGTATTGAAGTCAGTTTTCTTTCCATAAATCATATAAAAATTAAATGAACGTGTGTATGTGTGTATATGTATGTATATATACAATGAAGTATCCTTATGGTTTTACGCTATGAAGCTTCCTCTTCCTTTCCTCTATGGTTCCATATGAGTATATGAAGATCTGAATAAAGAGTTGTAATAGCTGGCGTCTCCGCAGATCGTTGCTCCCAGAGCTGCTGCGTTTTTATCTGGTTAATAGTATTACCAGCATGGAGCTCTGGTGAGTTCATTCATTTTGTCTGGTGGTGGATTTCACGCGGTGTTGGTGTTGTATAACACAGAAGGTTTATTGAGAAGATTTATTTAGGACATTTTGTATTACTTATGGACGTTTTGGACACTGGGCGGCATAGTGTGTTACTGATGGTAGCCTTTGTTACGTTGGTCCCAGCTCTCTGCAGGTCATTCACTAGGTCCCCCTCGTGTGGTCCTGGATTTTTGCTCACTGTTCTTGTGATCATTTAGACCCCACGGGGGGTGAGATCTTGCGTGGAGCCCCAGATCGAGGGAGATTATCAGTGGTCTTGTATGTCTTCCCGATTTTCTAATTATTGCTCCCACAGTTGATTTGTTCACACCAAGCTGCTTGCCTATTGCAGATTCAGTCTTCCCAGCCTGGTGCAGGTCTACAATTTTGTTTCTGGTGTCCTTCGACAGCTCTTTGGTCTTCACCATAGTGGAGTTTGGAGTGTGACTGTTTTGAGGTTGTGGACAGGTGTCTTTTATACCGATAACTGATATACTAGGGGCGGCAAAAGTGGCTTAGTGGTTAGCACGTCTGCCTTGCAGTAAAATGGGTCATGGGTTCGATTCCCGACCATGGCACCTCCTGCATGGAGTTTGCATGTTCTCCCTGTGCTTGCGTGGGTTCCTCCGGGTACTCTGGTTTCCTCCCACACTCCAAAGACATGCTGGTAGGTTAATTGGATCCTGTCTATATTGGCCCTAATATGTGTATGTATGAATGTGAGTTTGGGACCTTAGATTGTACGCCCCTTGAGGGTTAGGTACTGATGAGAATGTACAATATATATGTAAAGCGCTGCGTAAATTGACAGCCCTATATATAAGTACCTGAAATAAATAAATAACAAGTTCAAACAGGTGCCATTGATACAGGTAATGAGTGCAGGACAGAGGAGCCTCTTAAAGAAGAAGGATCAGGTCTGTGAGAGCCAGAAATCTTCCTTGTTTGTAGGTGACCAAATACTTATTTTCCACCATAATTTGCAAATAAATTCTTTCCAAATCAGCCAATGTGATTGTCTGGATTTTTTTTCTCATTTTGTCTCTCATAGTTGAGGTCTACCTATGATGCCAATTACAGGCCTCTCTCATCTTTTTAAGTGGGAGAAACTTGCACAATTGGTGGCTGACTAAATACTTTTTTTTGCCCAATTGTATAAATGTCATTTATATTTTTTAAATATATATTTATTTCCGATACAGGCACTTATTTACACTTATATATGTATGAATTACTGTATATGAGTGTGATCAATTCTTAGATTTTGCACAGAGTATTGATTTTTTTTTTTTTCTTCCACGTTTCATTTTATTTAATTATTATTGGTCATTATCCACATTTTGTATAGTAGAGTATTTTTTGCACCAAATATTGCTGTAGACTCTATTTTGGTTTGCAGTACTATGAGATAGTTTGGTGAGGAGCGCTGTTCTAATTAATTAATCTGTTTTTCAGTGCTTTCTGGAAGGTCTCCTGAGGTTATCTTTAAAAAAAACGCTTCTAAACACAAACGCTCATAAACGCGGTATGCAAACGCAGATAAACAGACTTTTTTTAACCACTTCCAGACCGGACACTTTTACCCCCTTCCTGACCAGGGCAATTTTCAGCTTTCAGCGCTATCACACTTTGAATAACAATTGCGCGGTCATGCAACACTGTACCCAAATTAATTTTTTACCATTTTTTTGAGACAGATAAAGCTTTATTTTGGTGGTATTTATTCACCCCTGGGATTTTTATTTTTTTTTGCTATGTAAATGAAAAAGTCCAAAAATTTTGAAAAAAAGTTTTTTTTTTAATAAAATTTTGCAAATAAATAATATTTCATCATAAATCTTGCCCAAAATTTATTCCGTTATCTTTTTAGTAAAAAAAAAAATCCAAATTAGTTTATAACCAAAAATTATAATTTTTAAAAAAAAAACCTTTTTTTTTTTACATTTTTATTATTTTTTTATTATTATTATTATATTTTTTTTACATACTGTCACCCTAGCAGTACAGTACTAGTGGGGGGGGGGGGGGGGGGGGGGTGATGATGAAGATTTTTTTTTTTTTTTTACACATTGCTTTTACACCCATATAGGATGTAAAAGCAATCATTTCTCTTTCTCTCTGTGTGCATTCTTGCACTCATTGAGAAGAACTGAGTGAGCTGTGATTGGTCACAGCTTGTCACATGGTACAAGCCTGTTGTGAATAGGCTTGTACCATGTGACCTCTGTGATCATTCACAGATTTCACACGTAGTAAGCAATGATGTCACAAGTGACATCTTGCTTACTACTTTGCATGTGATCACTGATTGGTCACTCAGTGATCACATGATCTTGACCTCGCACAGAGGTCCCGTCCGACGATCGGTGTTTCACTGTGTCCGGAGGACACAGTGGGCACCGGATCGCGGTGCTGTGCGCTCCCAGGGAGCGCGCACAAGCAGGGTGCGGGGGAGGCCGTTTATAAACGGCCACCCGACCCTGCACTGCCACCGTCCGGCCGTTTATATGCAACGGCCAGTCGGGAAGTGGTTAACCAATGTTTTCCAGCAGTCAGTTTCCATCGTTCAGAAGTGTCCTGTGTACATGGAGCCTAAGGCAGGTCATAGACGGGCCGTTTTATCGGCCGAATTTTCGGCCGATAAACGAAAAATCGGTCGGCCCTGTTGCCGATGCTGCCACCCATGTCTGTGAAAAACGGCCGTTTTTTTGCGGATTTTCCAGCATGACCGATAAAAATAAATGAGATCCGCGAAAAACGGCCAATGGACTGGCCCCACTAACGGCGTGATTATTGGCCGTTTTTCGTGCGGACAAAAATTTGACCCATAAATGACCCGTCTATGGCTGCATAAGGCTTGGGTGCATATGGTCAATGTTTACTAATCGAATTCTTAGATTTTGCACAGAGTGTATTGATTTTTTTTTTTTTTTTTTTTCCCCACATTTTATTTAATTATTTGATGGTCATTATCCACATTTTGTATAGTAGAGTATTTTTTTGCACCAACATTGCTGTAGACACTATTTTGGTTTGCACTACTATGCGATAGTTTGGGGAGGAGCGCTGTTCTATTTAATTAGTTACCTGTAAGTGGTTAAACAAGTCCCTGACCCTTTACAACAAAATGCACCGGATGAAAACGCAGAGAGGTAAACCTGTCCCATAGGAAATCATGCTACATGGACTGCTGTGCGTTTCTGCAAAACGCAGCGGAAAACGCATAGGTGTGAACCTAGACTTAATGGCGTCCAGAAAGCTGTTTGGAGGTCGCTGGAAAATAAGTAAACGCTTCCTGTAAAGATCGCGTCTCAGACCTGTATATAGAAGTTGGCCATGAACAGGTGTGTGAATAGACTAGGCTGTGTCCTCCTAGCCCTAGTGCGACTAATGCTGCAGCTGGAGGGCCCGTACATGATCGCAGCACTCCCCAAGTACTTCTCAGCTGTGTAGGACAGTATTCGTGGACACTGCATTGTTTTCTACTGGAGCTCTATACTAAGCCTATACTGGGCACCTTTTTAAATCTTATTGATGCATTTTTGTAGCATATTCCAGTGTTTTCACCTGCCATCACAGTGTGTGGAAATGCTAAAAGTGCCTATAGGGATTTTATTGCCCCCAGGACATCACCATTTGATTCAAAATTCTTTACTAACTCTTAGACAATGCTGGCTGCGTGCTGTATAAGGCGCATGTACACTGCAGCTGATAAACTCACGTTTAGGAGCT